GGATGGATGGATGGATGGATGGATGGATGGATGGATGGATGGGTAGAGGGATGGATGGATGGATGGGTGGCGGGATGGATGGGTGGCGGGATGGATGGATGGATGGATGGAGAGTTATTGTCCCCCGGTGGAAGACGGGCAGCTCCAACACGGTTTCAGCAGCACGGGGAGGGCGGGCGCGTGGTCCCCACGACCCCCCACGTCCCCCCAGGCGCCACGTGCGTGCTGCGGGCCAAGTTCTCCGCCTCGCACTTCTGGGACGACTGCCGCCGCTACAACGTCACCGTCATCCAGTACGTGGGCGAGCTCATGCGCTACATCTGCAACACGCCCGAGGTAAGGCCGAGGTAACGCCGGGGGGACAGCCCAGCGCCGCCGTCGAGGGCCGCGACGAGACAGCCCCTCGTCGCCCGCAGCGCCCCGGCGAGCGGGAGCACGGCGTGCGCCTGGCCGTGGGCAACGGCATGAGGGCCGACGTGTGGGAGAAGTTCCTGCGGCGCTTCGGGCCCGTCACCATCCGCGAGTTCTACGGGGCCACCGAGGGCAACGCCGGCTTCGTCAACTACACGGGCAAGATCGGCGCCGTGGGAAGGGTGAACGTGTTCCTCAAGGTGAGGGGGGCGTCCTCGAGGGGGCAATGATGGCCGCAAGGTGACGTCGAAATGAGAGGTCCCACATGAAGGGGGCCRGTCCTCAAGGAGTCCCCTCTGTTGGGGTGGCCAACCACTAGTGACCACATTGCTCCAATAAGGGCCATTTTTGGGGTGTCCCCGCCACGTCATCCCCATCCAGCTCCAGCAAACACCCCCAAAACAACGTGGTTGCTCCTCCAGCCTCTTCCTGCCACTGTCGCGGGTCTCAGTCCTCCACGGTGGGTKGTCACGTTGGAAACCACAGGCCGTGAACACGGCCCAACTCTTGAACATGGCCAAATAAACTCATTGGGACATAAAGGGGGCTCAGCTTGGGGGGCAGGAGTTGGAGGACGCCAAGTCCTGCCCAGGACTTTGGAGAGGAGAGGATTTGGAGAGGACAACAAGGGACCCCATCCAAAACCATCCTTCGGTGGCCTCGGCAGCGTGCTGACTTCCCCTTGCCCTCCTTTCCGCCACCGTTCCTCCTCCTTCACCGACTTCTCCCTCCTCCGGCACCCAGAAATTCGTCTCCTTCGAGCTCATCAGGTACGACGTGGAGCAGGACGAGCCCGTGCGCGACGAGCGAGGCTTCTGCACGCCCGTGCGCCCCGGTAAGCCGGCACGAGGGCCTTTCCTCAGCGCTCGGAGGCCACCACGAGGCCCTGAGCCTCCCCGTCCCTCCCCACAGGCGAGGCCGGCCTCTTGGTCGTCAAAATCACCAAGGCGGCTCCGTTCCACGGCTACGCCGGAGACCCCGAGAAGACCGAGAGGAAGATCCTGAGGAACGTCTTTGCGAAAGGCGACGCCTTCTTCAACACCGGTGACCTCCTCATGATGGACCGGGAGCAATTCCTCTACTTCCAGGACCGCGTGGGAGACACTTTCCGGTAACTTCTTGTTCTTCTGTCTCGGCCAGCGGCACCGGTGATGGGAAGGGCGAAAGTGGATGTCCCCACGGAGCAGATAGGGGCACGCTGACGTGCCGCAGAGGGACACGGGCAGCGGCAAAGGAGGGAGAACGTGATTTTCAGCCCCAAATCCCTTCTCACGCCTCCCGCCTTCCCTCCCTAGCTGGAAAGGCGAGAACGTGGCCACGACGGAGGTGGAAAACATGCTGAGCGCGGTGAGCTTCATCCAGGAGATCAACGTCTACGGGGTGTCCGTGCCGGGTAAGGCGCCRGCAGCACGCGCGGAGATCGGGGGCCCTAAATACCCATCCGGCTACGTGGGAACGGGATGTGGCAACCAAAAAGGCTAAAACGGGACCCGGCCACCCAAAATAGGTATCCAGGGTGGTTCTGGGTGCCCACCRGGACAAGCTGTGGGGTGGATGGGAGCAGGGAAGGTCTGCGCCACCTCGCTTGTGGTGGGGACACTTGGTGGCCCTCCAGTTGCCCAACAAGGGCCACCGTTTCCCAAGAGGGGTCCCAGGGCATTCCCTGAAGTTCTGGGCTCCACAGTACGAGACGTGGGGCTTCTAGAGAAGGTCCAGCATTGAGCATCCAACACGATGAAGGGACCGGAGCATCTCTCGTATGAGGAGAGACTAAGAGAGCTGGGACAGCTTAGCCTGGAGCAGACTGAGACGGGATCTGACCAACATGTCCAAGATCTTGAGGGGAGGAGGTAGCGAGGACGTGGCCAAGCTCTTCTCAGTGGTGGCCAGGGACAGGACAAGGGGTGACGGGTCTASGTTGAAGCCCAGGAGGTTCCATCTCGTGAGGAGGAACTTCCTTGGTGTGAGGGTGCCCGAGCCCTGGAGCAGGCTGCCCAGGGAGGCTGGGGAGTCTCCTTCTCCGGAGGTCTCCAAACCCACCTGGATGCCACCCTGTGCCCYGTGCTCTGGGTGTCCCTGCTGGAGCAGGAAGGTCCCTAAGGATTGCCACCAAGCTGCCTGGACGCGCCGGGCGCTCCGGACATCCCTGCCGGCGCTGGGGGCAGGATGATCCCTAGGGATCCCCACCAACGTGGTGCTCCGGGTGTCCCTGCTGGTGCTGGGGGCAGGATGATCCCTAGGGATCCCCACCAATGTGGTGCTCCGGGTGTCCCTGCCGGTGCTGGGGGCAGGATGATCCCTAGGGATCCCCACCAACCTGCTGCGCCGGGCGCTCTGGGCGTCCCCACCGGCACAGAGGTGGGACGGGATGATCCCTAGGGATCCCCACCAACGTGGTGCTCCGGGTGTCCCTGCCAGTGCTGGGGGCGGGATGATCCCTAGGGATCCCCACCAACCTGCCTGGATGTGCCGGGTGTCCCTGCGGGCGCTGGGGACGGGATGATCCCTAGGGATCCCCACCAACCTGCTGCGCCGGGCGCTCCGGGCGTCCCCACCGGCACAGAGGTGGGACGGGATGATCCCTAGGGATCCCCACCAACGTGGTGCTCTGGGTGTCCCTGCGGGCGCTGGGGGCAGGATTATCCCTAGGGATCGCCACCAAGCTGCTGCGCCGGGCGCTCCGGGCGTCCCCGCCGGCGCAGGGGCGGGACGGGATGATCCCTAGGGATCGCCACCAACCTGCCTGGATGTGCCGGGCGTCCCCGCCGGCGCAGGCGCGGGGCGGGATGATCCCTAGGGATCGCCACCAACCTGCCTGGATGTGCCGGGCGTCCCCGCCGGCGCAGGCGCGGGGCGGGATGATCCCTAGGGATCGCCACCAACCTGCCTGGATGTGCCGGGCGTCCCCGCCGGCGCAGGCGCGGGGCGGGATGATCCCTAGGGATCGCCACCAACCTGCCTGGATGTGCCGGGCGGGCGCAGGCGCGGGGCGGGATGATCCCTAGGGATCTCCACCAACCTGCTTGGGTGTGGCGTGTCTTTCTGCTAGTGCTGCTGCGGCATGGCGGCCGTGCGCCTCCGCGCCGGGACGCGCTTCGAGGGCGAGCGGCTGGCGGCGCGCGCGCGGGCCTGCCTGCCGAGCTACGCCGTGCCGCGCTTCGTGCGCATCCAGGTGAGGCGCCGCGCGGGACCGGCCCTCCTCCTCCTCGCCCCGCGGGACCCGGCGCGCCGTGTCCCACCCCTGCCCTCGCCACCAACACCCTACACCACCACCAACCTCCCCAACAACGCGCCCGCGCCCCTCCGCGGACGGCGGCGCCGGTTCCCCGCAGGAGGCCCTGGAGATCACGGGCACCTTCAAGCAGCGCAAGGGCAACCTCGTCAGAGAGGGGTTCGACCCCAACGTCATCACGGAGCCGCTCTTCGTCCTGGACGCCGCCAAGGGGACCTACGTGCCCCTGAGCGCCGCCGTCTACAGGGACATCCTGGAGATGAGGCTCAAACTGTAGGGAGCCGCGCAGGGGGCCCCGCGAGGGACCCCCCGACTCGGCGCGGCGGGGAGTTTGCTAACGAAGGGGGGTTTGCTAACGAGGCGCCGGGGAAATTAAACCTCTCGCTGATTGCACTAACGAGGCCGGCTGCGCCCGCGGGGACCAATCCGCGCTGAGGCTGCAACAGAGGGGGCAGCACCGCCCAGAGCCCCCACTGGGTGGGGATACTGGGAGCACTGGGGCCGCGCCGGGAGCTCCTCCGGGCCCCGGGCTGGGCGGCACCGGGGCCTCCCCGCCGCGCCGCTCCCACCCGGAGGAAGCGGCCGCGCTCCCCCCGCGCGCCGCAGGAACCCGCCTCGCTCCGCACCCACGCGGTGCTCCGTACAAAAACCACGGCGGGATTTTATTTACAAGCCTTCCCGGAGCAGGAGGGCGTCGGGGCGCGCGGCGGGCGGGCGGCGCTCGCGCTGCAGCTCGCCCAGGCGCAGCCGCAGCCGCTGCTCGCGCCGCTTGCACGCCTGCAGCTGCCGCTGCGCCTTGTCGAGGGCGGCGAGCGCCGCCTCGGCGCGCCGCTTCCACCGCAGCGCGCTGCCCACCTGGTAGCTGTGCTCGCTCTGGATGTAGGCGCCGGCGGGCGGCGGCAGGCGCAGCATGTAGAGCGACGGCGAGGCCGGCCGCGCCGCCGGCGCGTTGT